CAATCTTCTTCAAATCCTTTGTTTTCATCTACAATATTCTTCCTTGCTGCAGAGTGCAGTTCCTCAGCAATTTCCATTCTCCAAACCTGCACTCTACTTCACACGCCGCTTCAAGTTGGCGAGCACATATTATGTACTCCCAGCTTGGACAATAGAAACTCAAATTGATCAGTAGCTAACCCCTTTGTGAAGAGATTAACCAACTGATTATCAGTACTGAGATGTCGAAGTGTAAGAAGTCATGATTTCAACCTTTCACGAATAACGTAACAATCAACCTCTATGTGTTTTGTTCGTTCATGAAATACAGGATTTTGAGCAATATAAATTGCTGGCTGGTTATCATAGTATACCTTAACTAGACTTGAATGTGAAACACCATAGAACTCCAACAAAGCTTTCCGCCACTGAACTTCACAGGACAACTAAGCCAATGCTCTATATTCAATTTCTGATGAGGATCGTGATACGGTTCCCTGCTTTTTGCTACAATATCTAGAAAGCTACAAGGTAATAAGTGAAGTACCTAGAAAGCTACAATATCCAGTCACAGACTTCCTTGATGCATGGCATGTTGCCCAATCTGAATCACTATAACTCCTTACTGTAATTGAGGGTCTGCTGCAAACCACAACCATTAACCTGTACATCCTTTTAGGTAACTTAGAATTCTGTGTAATTCCTTTAAGTGAGCTATAGTTAGAAAGTTCTGAAACTAGCTAATCTGCTAGACAGGAAAACATATGCCAGGTCTAGCTTGTGGAAGTCAGGTACTGAAGTTGTCGCAAAAGGTGCTTGAATGCTGAAATATCTTCCAAGGCAGTTCCATTCTAGGAAATCTGCATTCTCAAGCATTTCCAAGCAGAGTTTCCTTCGACATAAAGCAATGCCTTTGTACGTTCTTCCTATTTCCAATCCGAGGAAATATCTCTGATTTCCTAGATCTTTCACTTTAAATCCTTGTTGCAACTGCTATTTTACACGAATATCTTCTAAGTAGGATCCAGCTAGAATGATATCATATATATAAACCAATAATATGACAGTGGAACTTTTAAACACTGAGTAATCTTCATAAGATTGCTTGAACCCTAGTTGAGATAAGAACTCATACAACTTTAAATACCATTGTCGACTGGCTTGCTTTAACTCATAAAGGGACTTCTTTAACCTACAAATCTTGCCTTGCAAGTGACTTAGCTCACACATACCTGGTGGTAACTCCATGTAGATCTCCTCCTCTAAGTCACCATGCAAAAAGACATTACTGATATTCATTTGATGAAGGTGCTAGGACTTGACAGCTGCAACAGCCAAAAGCAACTTCACATAACCCATATTAGCAACAGGTGAGAAAGTGTCAACAAAATCAACACCATATGTTTGTGTGTAACCCTTTGCAACAAAACAAGTTTTGAACCTCTCTACTGCACCACTAGGGAGAAACTTGGTGCGATAAACCCATTTGCTGCCTACAACAGGTTGATCAAGTGGTCTATCAACAATATCCTAGGTTCCAAGGGCTTCTAAGGCATCAGACTCCTTCATAGCTTTAAGCCAGTAATCATGTTTGGTAGATTGAGAATAACTTTGTGGATCACGGGAGAGATAATTGTAAAGAGAATAATGTTATGAGGAGAAGAGAGTTGGATGTTAGAAATGCTATGAGCAAGTGGGTAAAGAAGTTTGCAGTCGAAGGAACAAGAAGTATGAGTCAGTAAAGAGGTGTGAAAGTAATTGAAGTGTTAAGGAGGTCTGGTTTGACGAGGAACTTTTCTTAAAGTAATAGGCAATTCAGTATGAGGGGACTGAGGTGGTGGATAAGGTTGAGAAATATGGGAGGAAGGATCCGAGTGAGAACTAGAAGGTGTAGAAGGAGTAGAAAGGAGTATAGTCAGGATCAGTGATTTCATGAACATTGTGATCAACAGGAAGTAGTAATGGTCATGAGGAAGTTGAGAGTTTTCATAAGGTGAAGAGTGGTTTGTGGTAGGAGCAAGAAAAGTAAACACTTCATTGAATTGAACATCACGACTGGTGAAAAACTTGTGAGTTGGGAGATCCATTAACTTGTAACCCTTGATACCAAAGTTGTATCCCTAAAACACAGATTTGATGGCTCTTGGTGCAAATTTAGACTTATGGTTTGTGACATCAGTGGTAGAATCCGTACAGCCTAACACCTTAAGGTTGCTATAATCAGGGGGATTCCAAACACACATTCAAAAGGGGACAAGTTATCCAAAATAGGTGTTGCCAATCTGTTTATAAAATGTGTAGCATGCAGAACAAAATAGCTCCAAAAGCTAGTAGGCAAACCAGAATGAAATTTCAAGGACCTTGCTACATTCAAGGGATGTTGATGTTTCCTCTCAACACGCCCAATGGGAAGTATAAACACAACTTTGTCCATGAACAATCCCGTGTTGCTGATAGAAATCTAGAACATTAAACTCCTTACCTTGATATGAGCTAATCTTCTTAACTTTCTTAGCAAATTGAGTAGTCACCATGACACAGAAAGCTTCAACTAGAGTTCTAGCTTCAGATTTATGACTCGTCAGAAAAAGTCATGTGCAACGACTAATGTCATCAACCACAGTTAAGAAATATTGATAAACATCAACGGAAACAACAACAACAACAGAGTCCCAAATGTCAACATGGAGTAAATCAAAGGTATTCTGAGATCTATAAGTACTTCTATGAAAAGGAAATAATTTTTTTTGTCATATGACAAATCTCACAGTCAAAAGAAACAGGATTATCATCTTATTACACACTTAGTGAAATATTTGTAACTTGTAAAAAGAAAGGTGTTCTAATCTCTTATGCCATAAACTGGAATTTTGACTAACGAAACCTCCAAGAAGGTACATATGATTATCTACAGGTATTAAACCAATCATTTTTTCATAGATGAGGTCCTGAATGGAACAAAAGGAGGATTTAAACAAAAGTGAGACTAGACTGTTGTGGGTGAGTTTACTAACTGAAATGAGGTTGTAAGAAAAAGAAGACACCAAGAGAACATTAGTAAGAGGCAACCTCGCAATTCCTATGTGTGTAAAAAGTGCTTGTTGGCCATAGGGACAGTGATTAAAATGTTCTGAACTATTTTGCACCTCGAAAATAAATGAATAGAACAAACTATGTGGTAACTTGCACCAGTGTCCAACACCAACAAGCATCGATCAGATTGTATCTTAAGAGTGGAAAGAACCAATTTACATGTCATAGAAGTATCCCTAGCCACCACTGAGTGTGCAGAGGAAGAAGCATTTGACTGCAATAAGGCCTTGAGCCTTGTGAGTTCTTTAGCAGTGAACCCTTTAAGGGTAGGAGAGTTGGACTCTTGACTAATAGGACTAGTAGGACTATAGGAATTAGCTCCTCCTGGATTGTTGGACTCCAATGGAGTAACATCAATGGAACTAGTAAACCTATTTCCTTTGTCAGGATTGCTCCTTGGATTAATTGTTGTTAAGTAGGCCATTCCTTCTCTTCAACTTCCAGCAGTCTTCTTTTACATGGTTGTCCTTCTTGAAGTATCGACATAACAAACTACCAGACTGCCCTTCACCTTGATTCTTGTCCTTAGGCTGAGATGCAGCTAATGCAGCAGCCAGAGCAATTGCTTCTTCTGAATCGCAGTATTAGGACTACTGCTATTCAACTGCCTTTCAAGTTGGAGAATCGATCTATACACACTATCCAGATCTGGAAGTGGATCCAACATGAGCATCTAAGTCTTAACTTGTTGGTATTTCTGATTTAAGCCTAACAGAAAGCGAATAACCTTCCCTTGTTCTTAGTACCTGATGATAGTTTCATAGGTGCGAGATGCACAATCACAAAAGGGTATGGGTCTATAACTCTGTTCCTCATCCCACAAAAGCTTCAAATCAGTATCGTACTGTCTTATGGTTCGATGACCGTGCTTGGTTAGGTCTATTTTCTCCTGCAGGTTTGAAATTCTAACCGAATCACCTTGGCTACACTTAGCCTTGAGATAATTCCATGCTTCAGATGCAAGTCTGATGTTCCTAAGACTAGGAACAATGTCCTCAGAAATAGAATTTCTAATCCAACAAACCACAGTACCATTCACACTATCCCAAGTACGATAAGAAGGGTAGGTTAGATATGGTACCTTGGTCGTTCCCAGAACAAACCCTAGCTTGTTTTTTGTACGCAGAGCTACCTCCATGGATTCGCTCCAGAGTAGGTAGTAGTCATCATTGAGTTTGAACCCAATGACTGGTAAGAAGGAGTTGTCTCTTTGAGCTAAGTAGAAGGGGTTAGAGTAAGGATATTCATAACGAGCTAGAGGTTGCTCTGGACCTTTGCCTGATGAATCTCCATCGGTAATTTCAGAGTCCACCATAATGAATCAAGTAACACGAATAAGAAAAGGTCGAAGAAAGGTGAGGGAAGAAATGGGTCAAGTAATCAAAAGCCAACTAGACTCTAATATCATGACAAAAGTTTAAATCAAGCAGATCTTAACGTTATGCAGGTTAGAGCAAGAGAGACGATGAACAAATAGGGGTTTGGTGAATTTTGGCAAGATGCCTTTCACTCCATTTTCTGATTGCTTATATACAGAAGGTCAATTGTACATAAAAGTCTCTAATTACTGTACTAATGGCTAATAGAAACTAATTAATCAAAACTACCAATGCAACAACACCAAGTGGCAAATGGACGTTCTTTACACTTCCGAATTTACTATTCTTTGGAACGACGATGTCTGACTTATATATTTATCTGGTGGGTATGCAAACTGGTTTGAACCAGGTGAAAGGCAGCACAGTTCCTCAGCAATTTCCATTCTCCAAACCTGCACTCTGCTTCACATACGATCAGGACCAAATTGTACAGTCCGATTTTATTTATACTTTTTCAAACTCTTATCAAAATGTCCATGGATGCATGCGAATTAATAAATTTTGGTAGCCGGCTGATGCGCTGAGTATCCAGATACTAAAGAAAACACAGAGTTCAATTTTTATTCATTAATTGGTTACTAAGTAAGTGCCAGTTAAACAACACACATACGCAGATAAATGAAGCATGGGATACACACAAAGTAACCTACCCGCCGGTCGGAGGGCCAGAATGCACATACAATAACAAGAAATACGGAACATAACAGATAAGCGAATAGGAGGAGCTTAGATGAAGAGTTTGAGCGCCTCCTTGAGAACACGGATCTGTTCATCTTTGACGGCGATCTCCTTATCTTTGTCCGCAGCAGACTTCTCATCATCACCGCCGCCGCCACCTTTCCCCTCGACCAGCTTCTTGTTCAACTCCCTGATCTCCAAGTCCTTCTCATCCCGAAGCGTCTGGTTCTCCACCTCCAGCTCCTCATTGACTTTCACCAGGTTTACCAAACCCGAGCCCTCCGCCATTAGCTCCCCGGTCCCCAACTGGTACCGGTCCCACTCCGTCGCGACCGGAGTGGGGACCTCAACACCATGCTTGGACCAGTCGAAGAGATCGTTGAGGCGGCGGTAGGGATTTCCTTCCTTTGGTCCCTTGCTGCCACTAGGGTTGAGCCACCGGATCATGAACCCTTCTCGGGGCACGGTGACTTGGTCGTCGTAGTTGTTCTTCCTCAACTCTTCCAGCTTCTGGCCCGCGAATACGACGCCGAAGACTTCCAGATCCTGGTGAGTGGAGGCCGAGTTGGTGCCGATTCGAGCCATTAGCTGCCACTTGCTCACGTCTCCGGTCACGTCTTTGGGGTTCAGGTCGGCCACGTCCGGGCCGTCGAGGACAGCGATCGTGCCGTCGGAGTTGCCGACCAGCCATAAGTTGTTGGAGTCCAACACGAAGCGAGACATAATGGCTCTTTTTTTCTCTTCTTCTTCTTCTTCTCTCTTCCTCGACCACACTGGACCTATTTTTTTTTATTTGGTCGCGATGGATTAACTGTGTGGTATGGAACCCGCTGCACTCTGATCAGTCATTTATAGTAGAAACAACCCATTTTCTTTCATCACAATAATAATTTTTTATTTTATTTGAGACATTCAATGCACCAAACTCTAAAAGTGGTCATAATACATCGAATTTCCACTACAACAAAACTGTTATTTAGCGACAGTCATACGGACTTTTAGCAACGGTCAAAACCGTCGCTATGCAAAGGGGTTCATAAAGGCAAACGACACATGCAATACGTAGTTGAAACCAAAACCTCCCATTTCTTCTATAACCTAACAGTTAGACTGAGTATTTATGGCATGGAAGCAAAATGAGGGATTGGATTAGCAAATACAACACATACTAGCTACAGTGATTTGGGAGGCGCCCGAGAAACAACTAACTAAGGATTACTAGTCCATGGTATGAGAAGTGAAGCAGAGTAGCTCCAGCCTCTTCCATTTTGTGAGATGCAGCTCGAACGAAGGGACTTAGGGGAACAACGGTAAAAAGTGACGCCATTACAAGAGCTGAATCCCCGACTAACTCAAGTATGGTGAAATCGAAAGCCTAATCTAGGGTTGATGTTGAGGTCCGTAGTAGACGGAAAAGAAAAGATGACTCTTGCATTTCCAGTCAAAATGATTGCCCGGCCAGAAGACGCAGATGACGTTGCTTGGTTCCATGAATAACACGGACCGGGAGAGAGTCAGAGAAAAGAGGTAAGACATGAGAAGCCAATTTTGATTGATTGCCATTGTCATTCGAGTGACACAAACAAATAGAAATCCGCAGTATTTGCAATGAGCGGAGAATCAAGAAGTTCTTGGAACAAGAGGTACGAAATTAGAGTCTCAATTAGGGTTTTGAAGAGAAAGGAGAAGAGGAAGCGAAAGTAGAAAGACTAAAGGGCTGTTAGTTTGAATCTAGATCTGAAGATTGCTTACCTATAACTTGAAAACTCTCTGCCAGAGGAAGAAGCGATGCGAAAGCCGGCGATGGTGTGAGGACGAGGACCACAACAGCAACCGCCGATGAAGGAAAAAGGAAGAGACACAGGGAGTCGGAGCAAAATAATCAATGGGTCGAGGCTCTAGGGATTTCACTTTCTTTCTGCTGTTGAAGACGGTGAGTCTTTTTCATTTTTGTCCACTTGTATTTAAAAATATGGAAATATAAATAATTAGATTTCGTAATTACATTTTTTATTTTATAATATCTATAGCGAAGGAAGGAAAATGAAAAATAAAATACTTACTGTCTTCAGCACGTGCAGCGCAATAAAGGTCGACAGGCATTGGGATTTGCCAACGGCCAATCGACGGAGGAAAACATTCCGCTCAATCCACACATTTAGCGACAATTCATTTAACTGTCACTAAACAAATGTCGCTATGTCAATGTTTTCTTGTAGTGTTCGAACGATAATTGGTATCATTACTCTAATATTACGATACAACATAGAATAACAAATAATCAATCCATTAGTACGATATTGTCCGTTTTGAGCTAAGCCTGCACCGTTTTACTCTTGGGTATCCTCACCAAAAGACCTCATACTAATTGCGCTAGGTGGACATTAATATACAAGGGTCCCTTCTCTTGTATTACCGATGTGGTACTTTGATTGTATCATAACAATCCTCGGCTCAAGAAAAGTACCACGAACTTTGTGCCCTCTGCTCAGCGATTATCTTGATCTGTCACACACCTTGTATCGATGAGTTTCTCGGTACAAGGATTTTGCCAAACGCATAACTCTCTTTAATCTACTTCCCAAATGTATACCTCCCTTGATCCTCCAAACATACGCAGATCTCAAATCTCGAGGTAGCCAAATGAGTGTCCCACCAAACTGATATCCACCACACCGAACCGAACCAGGCTCTGATACCACTTGTCGAAACCGGGTTGCTCATCAGTACGATATTGTCTGCTTTAGGCCAAGCCCACACGGTTTTACTCTTGAGGGTCCTCTCCATAAGGCCTCGTACAAATTGGGCTAGATGAACACTAATATACAAGGATATTTTTCCTTGTATTATTGATGAGGTACTTGAACTGTCCCACAACAATCCTTCCTCAAGAAAAGGATCACAAGCTTCGTGTCCTCCCTTCGTCAATTATCTTGATCCTCCAAACACCATGTATCAATGTGCTTCTCGATACAAGGATTTTCCCAAATGTAAAACTCTCTTTGATCTACCAAATCAAACGCGGATCTCAAACCTCGCAGCCACCAAATGATGGTCCTATCAAATTGACGTCCACTGCCCCGTACCGAACAAGACATTGAAACCACTTGTCATAATCGGATAGCAGATGGGAACATCTTAAAAAATGATAAAAAAAAGTATAATGAATAATAATAAAATGAACTGTAAATTTTCAACAAAAAATGAAAGGAAAAATAAAATAACAAATAAAAATATATTAAATAAAACTCTGTCGTAAAAGCATTTGATTTTCTGCGACGATAGAATAGCTCGCAAATGATATAATTTACTGCAACGAAATAGTTCCTGTCGTTGCAGGAAGACTATTTTGCAACGACACGTCTGTCACAGATTCATCACTTTTCAGCGACGAATTTGGTTTTTCTTGCGACGAACCAGGTTTATTCATCGCAGAACTTTCTGCGACGCTGTATAGGCGACGACTAGTTTTTCCTCTTTTTGACGATGACTTCTGTTGCAGAATACTTTCTGCGACAAATTTTGGACTTTCTGCGATGAATATTTTCGTCGTAAAAAGTGCATTTTCTTCTATTGATTCTAAACCTTTGCCCTTTTCCCTACGGTCGAACATATGATAAACCTTTGGGCTCACTACTTCGTTCCAAAGAAACTGAAGCGGATGATACAGATGTTCTTTACTTTTTCGTTATTTCGTAATACCCGGGGTATGATACCTTATAGCTTCATAGTTACAAGTCATTGTCCGCTTTGGGCCAAGCCGGCACGGTTTTATTATTGGGTGTCCTTGTTAAAAGCATGGTCCATGAAACCGTACCGTACCAACGGTTCAACCACGAAATACCAGTATTGGAGGCTAAATCGGTAGGCGGTATTTAACGGTCTAACGGTTCAACTACGGTAAAACCACGGTTTTATCATAAAATATCATATCATTGACTTTTCCGGTACGATACCCGGTACGGTTTCATGGACCATGGTTAAAAGGCCTTAGACTGGGTGGATACTAATATACAAGGGTCTCTTTCCTTGTATTACCGATATGGTACTTGGATTATATCATAACAGTAAACCTAAACCTAAACCCAAACCCTAAATCATTCAAATTAAAGTAAATCTGTAATAATTTTTGTACAAATTCACGTGTTTCTTGTCCATCATACCACAAGTGACGATTGACATCGTTTTCAGATGAATCGCTTATTAATAAAGACGATTATGAGGCGTGTGTATTGAATGCACCCAAAAAATTTGGTGCACTGAAGACGCCACTATATAGATATATGGTGGCTCTCATTGTACTTTGGATAAAATCTAGTATACGACATAACTTGAGTAAGAAAATATTGTTTAGGACAACACATTAATAAATACATTACTTTAAAAATTATCAACTCTACTTATGTAAACAAATGACAAGGCTAGTAATTAAAGTAATAGATTCGTGGTTGGGGAAATACATATTAAATACTTCAAGCATTATCCCGGATCGATTTGGGTATTCTCATGTTGTAACAATCCAAACACGCACCCAACCACAAAGTTCTCGATTTTTTTGGTAAAAAAGGAGCGCTAAGAGCGCTCCAACTTCAACTAATGATAATCATGCGGGGAGTCTGGATCTCAATCGTATCAAAGTACAACAAATTTTCTCGGATAACACGAGTGTACATGTGTTGATTGGATGGGAAGGTTTTCGACTTGTTTTTTTTTTTATGAGAGAAAATTGCTTAATAGAATTAATCAAAGTTGAAGAAGGTTTTCGACTTGTTTTGTTCAACCTTGCACCTGTTTGGAAGTTTTGAGTATTCTTTTTTTTTAAATATATTAATTTATGTCGTTATTCCACCACCGATGATTATGATTAGGAAGGTGTAAACAAATAAAAATTACCAATTAAGTTATGCTAAGTGATGATGTCGACAGTGATCATTCTAAACAGGGAAAAGGTTAATAATGGGAGTTGATAAAGGTCGTCCTAACAATTACTAATGATCGTCCTAAAAAACAACAAAGTTACACTTTTAACCTTTTGACATCTTTACCTTTCCTTTAGCAAACAAACACCACATTCACTTAGAAAACAAAAAACACTCATTCTCCCACACTCTCGAATTCATCATCGACATTTGGAAGCCGAAATCGTCGAGCATACGTCCGAACAATGAGTAGCGACTCCGACGAGGTAAAAATCTCGTTTTAAAAAAAAAAAAAAAAAAAAACCCAACCGAATGTGATTTTCGGTTGGTCCATGGTCCAACCGAAATTCGGTTTCGGTTGAACCATGGACCAACCGAAAATCACATTCGGTTGAGCCATGGATGAACCGAAAATCTGCTACGTTTGTGCCATGGGTGAAACGAAAAAAAATTTCGGTTGGTCCACGGTGGCACCGAACCTTTATTTCGGTTTGGCCATGGTGAAACCGAAAATTTGGTTAGGTTTAGCCATGGTTGAACCGAAAATTTGCTTCTATTGGTGGTTTTTGGGTTTTTTTAAGTTTATATCAAATATTTCTGTTTTATTGTTATCATTTATAGTTTGGTCTATAAGATTGTTTATTGAATTTTAGTTTATATTATTTTTAAAATTTATGAGCCTAATTATTTGTGAAATTGATTTTTTTGTATACAAAATTAAGATTAGATGCATAATACGCAATAAAAAAATTATAGAATGTGATTAATATGATTCTTACATTAGATGTATAGTATGTACATAATAGAGAATGCTAAATTTTGTCGTGTTAAATGTTGGATTTTGCTTAGGATAATATAGAGAATGCTAAATTATTTGTGATAATTATTAAATTAAATGTAGTCGTTAGATTTTCTATTATTATGGAGTCCTACTTATATCATGAGATCTAACATTGTAGGATATTGATGATTACGGAGGGGATGGCAAAGATTACACCTCAGAATTCGTCAATGGAGTAAAATACGATACAGATTTGATTGCATATGCAGCAGCTACTGAGATTGCCAAGGGTTTTGGGTTTTATTTGGTGAAGGCATCAAATAAAAAAAATCCAAGTGAAGATAGTAGGCGACGATACTTGAAGTGCACTCATGGTAGGAAGAAAAATTCGAAGGATCCTGATTCTGATCCGGCTAAGGAAAGGAGGCCTCTTACTTCTTCTGGAAAGTTGGGGTGTGAATTTCAGATCAAGATTGAGCGGTCAGATGATGGATATTGGTTGATACTAGCAGTGGCTAATAGAAAGAATCCTGGTGCTAATTTGGGTTTTCACAATCATCCGCTGGAGCTATTTCCGAATGGATCAAGTAAGAGGAATGTTTTGACCGAAGATGATAAGCAATACATCAGACAACTGAGATTAGCCGGTGTCGCCCCAAGGAATATCCACAAGGCAGTGAACGAGAGAAAAGGGGAGCATGGAAAGGTGAACAAAAGACAGATTTCTAACGCATTGTATAAGATAAGAAAAGAAGAGCTTGGTCAGAGGACGGCCTTACAGTACACTTTTCAAGATGCTCTGGAGAAGGGTTACTATGTGCAGTATGTGGATGACCGTAACGTGCTTACACACTTGTTCCTAGCCCACCCTGAGTCAATATTGATGTTGCGATCTTGGCACCATGTCATTGTGATAGATGCAACATACAAGACCAACAAGTATGAGTTTCCATGGGTTGAGATTGTTGGCATGACACCGATGGGATTGAACTTTGTCATTGCATCTGCGCTAGTGTATGACGAGACAAAAGAGTCGTACCAGTGGCTTCTCACGCATCTGCAACATTTGCTTGGCCCTATCACTCCAGATGTATTTGTTAGTGACAAAGCAGGAGGATTGGTTGAGACCGTGGGGGTAATGTTTCCATCATCGACTCATATACTATGCCTTTGGCATGTAGACAGGAATGTGAGAGCACGGTGTCTAACGGAGGTGAGGAGGACGTCTCATTGTGGGATAGATGCAGCCCAACCGACAGTGGATCTGATCATGGCGTCTTGGAAAAGGATTGTATATGCC